ACCTACTGCAGGACAAAGGAGGAAAATGTTTAATATGATAGGAAGACTGCATTATAAATGAGGACGACAGTTGAAGGTGATATTTGATGAACATTGGTGCACTATTTCTGTTCGGTGTAAAGATAGCTAGCAAGATAGACACGGGAAGTTATATCAGTAAAGACGAAGTTATGAAAAAAACCTAGAAAGCAAAATCAGAACTTGGAAGGAGAGTGAAATGCGCGCCGGCTTAATAGGGTTTATGGATAAGAAGCATAATCGGGGAAAGATTGAGAAAATTTAAACATGGGCATGGAAGAAGAAAAAAAAATTGAAGAAACCAAGAGAATCCTCGATATGTGCTGCATAAGAGAACCAGTTATATCAAATATCCTATTAATAAAACTTGATTCTGAGTTGTAGATAATTTGTGGAAAAGCAGGTGAAACTGTGAGTCATATAGAAAGTCATATCGGAAATGAATGCGGTATATTGGCGCAAAGATAGTGGAAGCGGAAATACTGCAATATCAGGCGCATTTTACACCAGATGCTATGTGGTAAATGTAAACAGGAGATTACAGAAAAGTGGTATGATCTTAACGCACTTGGAGTAGTGGGAAATGGGGGTAAAACTGCCCTGGGACTTCACCGTGATGACAATGTGATAATGTAGTTGAAGCAAGATTACAATCGAGAAGGACGACAAATGGTGTTGGATTTTGTGTTGGGTATTTGAGAAAGAAAAGGAAAAGTGTGTGTGTGTGTGTGTGTGTGGAGGGGGGATAAATAAGATTTGAATCATGAGTTAGGACGCTTGTGGAGCATAAGAAAGTACATGTTCCTGTTCCTGTGGGGGCTCTTGACAGACCAAATCCAAAAATGTCTGGATAAAATTATGATTCAAACTGAGATACTTCATAAAAGAGTCCTGATCGAGACAGCCAGAATTCTAAGAAAGGTCTTGGGGATATAGAGAGGTGAAGAAATGACAGGACCCAGGATCATTTGGTGTGATCTACTCCCGATTGTTAAATTACGCCATAATATCTGTTTGAGATGACGGATAATAACAGTAAAAATAATGTGTCTGCATCGTAGCTGGGATAGTTGCTTACTTTCTTTCTTGAGGCAGAAATTGTTGTTCAGCGAAGCCAGGATTTCGATTACTGATTATTCAAGCATGATCTCTCCATTTGCAAAATTGGCGTAGCATAATTTTCTTCTGCTCGTTTTATACCGTACAAAGTTGAGTAAATATCACACTTACAGACACTCACACGCATTAAAAATGTGAGAAAAGTTCTTGTTATCGGGATTATAGGAAAATATTTTCATGATTATTTTAATCAAACAGTTTGGATGGATTCTGTAAATTCCAATCAAATGTTTTGAAGATTTCCACATCTTATCGACTGTTTTATTATTGGTAGCAAAGGTTATTAAAAATAGTTTCATTTTAATGGTTGCACTTCCAGGAATAACTAGTCCACGGTATAACGATAAACTACATCCAGCAGTAAAGCCATTGATCGTGAGAGTGGAGGTTTTGAGGAGTGTGGAACCATCACTTAATTGCTGTTGTTCCCAGGTTCACGCAGACCTGGGGTGGTAACACCTGTTAGGATCTCAGTTATGGGAAAATAGCGACCCCACCCCCAACAAAAACAAAATCCCATGAAAGTATAAAAATACATTTTTATAGTAAAAATACCAGCAATACATTTTCATATAAAAATTACTAACAATACCTATTTATAGTAAAATTATCAATACCTCAATCAACATGAAAGAACTCTTTCATGACATTAATCCATATAATATGCTACAATTTCTTAAATAACAGTATTCCAAAATATAACTTCAACAAAATTACAACATAAAACACACATATCACCGCCTCTAGCAATTATGTCCACACAAATATGTAGATGCACAAAAGCTGAGTATCATCTACCATGTATTCAATTGTGAAAGCAGAATAACATATATCGTATTTTGATTACGTCAAAACTCACTAAAAAATTAAATTTTGGTATTAAATGACCCATAAGGAGTTGATATGCCGTTAAAAAAACAAATCAAATCCAGAAATAACTCTGCATTACAATTTATTTGATTTGTCTATTTAACGGGAAAAAAAAGTGAAATAGAGTAGAGATTTGGGAGGAAAAGTGACATCTGCTCAATCAGAGAGATTGAACTGAATAAGGCAATGGAAACTAAAAAAGATTTTGAAAGAAAGGCGAAGAGAAAACTAAGTAGAAACAGAAAATTAACCCATTCAGGAAAAAAAATTACAAAAGGAGAGTAAGAGAAATCCGTAAAGAAACAGAAATAAGAAATGGGAGGTAAAAAGAACAAAGAGAGAAGGGGAGAGAGAGAGAGAGAGAGAGAGAAATAAAGGAACAGAATGTTAATGACACAAATATTAAACAAGAATCAAAAGAATTTAGAATGATAAAATGTGTTCTTTTTTTTAACAAAGAGAAGTATTCGAATTAAAAAAGAAAGTTAAAAATAACAATGGAAAACTGAAACGAAAGAGAAAGCCGGGAAAGAGAAAGCCAGGAAAGAAAAACAGAGGTCAAAAAGGTGAAGAAAAATCTTGGAAGCGATCAAGTTAATATCAAGGTTATATTGTATATATTTGTTTCGTTGGTATTCTATCATCAACGTAGAAATGTCTTCATGCTAATTTGATGAAATTTTGTTAAGTCTTTTATAAAAGGCACTTACCGTAAGTATTTATATCCATTGTCTACTTTGCTTTGCTTTTTACTCACAGCCTGCTTTCTTTTGTTCAGTAATTAAGAATGAACGAGAGATTAATGAGAAAGAACATCTTACAAAAGCTAAGTGTAATAATAGAGGTACAAGAGATCAGCTTTTATCAAGAGAAATTGGAGACGTCTTGAGAATAATGCAATTATTATAATTTTCAACTTTTGACTCAGAATAAGTGAGAGATTGTTCGTCACAAAGCTGAACCAATATGAATTCTCATGATTCACGGTTATTGTTAAATCGTACCACTTATGATTGTAAACAAGCGTTAAAAAATAATTACCATATGGGGTTAACAAATCTTATCTAAAATTTGTGTGCGTGTATATATGTGTGTATGTAATGTATGCGTGCATATATATGTGTGTATGTATATGTGCATTTTACATGTATATGAAAGTGATTGTACACGCCTGAATTCTAGGTTACGAAGAAAGAAAGTTATGTCAGACACAAAGAGAAACACTTTTCTCATTCCTATTTGCTCACGCTCCCATAACTGAATTTTTGAAATAGTTTATTTTTCTATCATTTGTAATAAATTCAAATCTACTTCAAGGTCAGAGGAGTGAGGGTTAAATTCTTTTTCTATGACACATGCCCACAAAAGAAAGTCAATAATTACAAAATTATAATTCCTGCAACTAGACGAAACTCGCAATAAATATGCACGCAGCGTAAAAAATCATCAAGGAAATGATTTGTTTCTAAAACGAAAAATCGGCAAAGCGAATTACGCACAAACCGTTTATAAAAGCTTTCATTGTATGAGCGAAAACTGAATAAAAAAGCAAATAAAAATGAAAGAAGTCTATTTCAACAGAAAAGTCGGACTTAAAACTAAAACGTAACCCAAATAAAGAACTGAATTTTTTTAAACAGCAATTCGAAGAATATACCGAATCAGCGGATTATAAAGCGGATGAATATTGAAATGTTAGAATCACAAAAAAGCAATCTTATTGTTTTTATTGTTAATTTCGTCATTAAATGGCTTAAAGCTGAATAAATTCATTTGCTTGAATAAGTTTCAAATGGGATAAAAAAGTAGGTTGTTCTATAATTAATTATAATTTCAGAAATATGTGACAGATTTTAACCAATAAAATAACGACTTTTGCGTTTAAATATTAATAATGCTTGATATGATTTATGTTAATTATTTCGATTTTAGTAATGGGAACAACATTTGCAAAATCATAGTAACTACTGAAATAGAAAATCTTAATAATAATATCTATTTAATGTTGATCTTCCATTTGGGTTCGGACTTAATGTAAATTTCCTACTTGTAAGCGAATGAATAGAGGAAATTTTGTTGTTTGAAGTTTTGTGTTCTGTGACTTCATTTTCAAATGGATATCAAGAATGGCTCTTCTATTACTTTTTTATATTAAAGTTCATCAAATACAAGGCTCGAAGTAGATGTCACTGAATGAGGCGCGTTATAGGAATGTTAAGAGGAGGTGGTAGGAAATGAAGAGTTAACTGATATTTTTCCAAGGCTGACAACTTAATATAAGGCTTCTTGGAATATCATTCAAATAGCATTGTTTAAAATTGAGGTCGTGATTTGTTTTTAGATGGGGAATTATTGTTATTATAGATCTTTCTATTCGAACTTGTATAGTCATCTTCGTTTTTATACTTACAGCGTTTCGGCCACTGAACACTTCAGGCTTCTTCAAGTTCTGCTGTACTCGTTAATCCCTCCCCCGCCAGAAACTGAACCAAACCCTTTATTCAATCCACAAGAGTAGATAGTTCTCCTTCCATTTTCCATGCTTAGAGGATATTTTATATTCGTTCTCGCCAGTCTATTCACCCATTTATGTCGCTTTTTTTAATGAATCAGCGTTTGAACTTACGACTGCCTGGAAACCAGATGCATTTTAACCAACGCTTTCATCCTTTGGACAGTCCTATGATGTAATTTTGAAACACTTAGATTGTAGAATTTTTCAGTATCCCTTCTTAATCAAAGTCTTCTACATGGTGTTCATATCTATGTTAGGTCTACTGAGGAGGTTGGCATTGCTTAACAAGTGCCAACAAATTCATTCGGTTGTCTTTTTCACTAGTATTGTTCTTCTTCTATTGGCTTCATTCCACATATCTGAATTCTCTTGTCTCGCCTCGGACAACAACTTTCCGATAATCCTCCATTCATACATTTAAGAGGAGGTTTCGCCCTGGTATTCCTTGCCATAAATTTATGGGATGGAATACACACACATATTGTTGAGCACTTCCGAGAGAGAGAGAGAGAGAGAGAGAGAGAGAGAGAGAGAGAGAGAGAGAGAGAGCCTTTATTCGGTGAGATGTCTCCGAATGGACTGCTCTTTAATATTATCCTGATATTCCCCACAATTCCTTAGATACTCAGAAGAAAGATACATTTTGTGTGACTATCGTGGTTGCATTCATATATATTGTTAATTGCGATTTCGCTAAGTAAATCATATTTTTAATCATTTCACCCCAAGCAAGATGGTAATACCGCTTGTACGCAGGAGGTTACAGGGAGTGAAAGAGAAGACTGAGTATAGGGAAGATTAAGGTTAGGACATCAGATAAACGTGGTTCAAGAAAACAGAAGATGACGAATGACGTTGCAATTAAATTTTTGAAGATTGTAGTTATCAGAAAGTAGTTATCTAGTAGCACTAGGAGGCATTAATATGTACAATCTATTTCTTGCACCAGTTAACCTACTGATTGGAGGTCCTTTTCAAAAGCGACTGCTAGGTTTACTTTGTTAGATCTGATGGATTCACTACTGAGACGGGGATAAATGGTAGTGTCATCTGCATATGCCATAAACCGACTTAAGTATTTTAGACTTTTTTCTTTAAGAAGAGATGTCATTAGCGCGTGAAACTAAATAACGTTTCATTTTCTCTACACATTGTATGAATGTATGTATTATTTTCAAAATGCTTGGTCAAATTGATCTTGAAAAAGTATCACAATGATACTCACTCTACCTTTTTCTTTACTGTTATCTAGGGATTTAAATGAAGTATAAAACCAAGAATATATGAATAAATGAATGCATACATACGTAATGGCTGGCTACTCGTTTCCGAGCACAACCGTCTGCCTGGGTGGTTAGCAAATCAGACGCCCGCTCAACCCACAGAGTCCATCTGTGGTTTATACTGCAACTATGATGAGCGAGCAGTTACAGTTTCTGGATGAGAGAACATAATCTAGTGTGATTAATTTTTTTAAACAAGGCCAGTATGCTCAAACCCTCAGTCACGATGACTTGTGACTTTGTGCTTGCACAACCATCGACAGCTACCCAATTTCACTCACAAACTATACCCATGGTATGGTTTCCAGGCATTTCCAAAGCGAAAGGTCTAACCATTCAGCAATGAAATATAACACACGCACACATATTCATATACACATGCATATCCACGCATAAAATAAAGATGTAAATAAACTATCCGACATATATATACACAGAACAGATTATGTCAGATAAAATGCTTGATCCAAGATGGAATCTTTAATAACTAAAATATGTATTAAGGTCTCTCTGTAACTATGTAGTGATCACCACATTTTATGCATTCTCGTATCTCTTTTTCTCATCCTCAGTATAATCTCGCTACTATCAAATGATTAGAGTGAATTGTCATAATAATGGCGTGAAGATAACGGTGTATTATCGCAAAAAAATATACAAAAATAACGGTTCCAGCTTTATTATATTTAAAAAAAACTGTTATGTTCCCATTAAAGATTAAAAAAAATTAAAAAATGTCTGTGACATATGTAGAATCATATTCCTACATTTTTTTTAAATCTTAAATTTTGTGCAAGTTAAACACATAGAGGCTCCCAACCAGATATAACAACTGATGTATTTTGATTGGTTGTAAAATATTAATTAGGTGTCGTCAACTACGTCCGAAGGTACCGACACAAATTTTGACCTCTAGTTGACGCCATAAAATGTAAACATGTTTACGAGCCTCCCCACGTGACCAAGAGAACTAATACAAACGAAACTTCGACGCGACTTGGTCAGTGGGCACTTAAAATATTGAAACCAATTCACTTGACTTCATTGGAAATCAACACAGCAAAGGAGACGAACTTTATCTTCAATACAACAACAAACTTTGTCAACCATCTCCAGGCTTAACGCTCACTCCCACAAAATATTCCATTCCACAAGAATCTCTGGTTAATGAGCGATAACAATCAGTGAGTCAAGAACAATACTTTTTTTTCTATTTAATACAAAAAAACATCTGTTTAATTTTCCTATAAAAACTAATATAGCTAACTAAACCTTGTCATTTTCACACATACAGTACAGTAGCTCAAATTCTTTCAGTAACACACACACCAAAGAACTTTATTGTGTTTATCAACTTTTGCACTATAATATTATGTATTTGTTGTGTTTATAAAAAATATTTATTGTTGAACAAATTCATAATTTCTTCTACTTGATTATTTCTCATGTTGTTGTCTTTGTTACATTTGATATTGTAAAAATTGTAGAGGGTCAGTTTTTATTTCTATTTATAACCAATACAAATTGGCTGACCCACTAAGGCGGTCTCAACCTTACAACTTACATGATCAATCGCAAAAAAAGTAATTACAACATTAACAGTAATTACAACTTAAAAGATATGGGAGAAAATAAATCATATATCATTTATCCTTTAATAAATAATGAATAATTTATCCCAGTTACTTACAGTAATCTGTGAAGGATTTACATTGAACAAGTGATAACTGACAACTTTCTTTATGTAAAAAAAAAAAAAAAAAGAAAAAAAGAGAAATTAATTAATACTTGCTTACTTAAATGATTTCTCGGAGACAGTTCGTTTGATAAATGACTTCTTGATTGTTAGAACTTACGTTGAAATTTAGTAGTAAAAAAGTTTGTTTATTGCTCTTTCTTTTGAGTGGAAGATATAAAAATTTATATTAAAAAATGTAAATTATTAAAAATGTGTAGATAAAAATGTAAATATTATAACAACCTATGTTTGTTTATTACACTTGCCTAAAATAATTATGTGAAAGCCAGACTGTTATTAAAAAATGTGATGTGAAACGTTTTAAACTTTCTAAAAATAGAATGGTTCGAAAAAGATCTGATGAATTCGCCCCTCTTCTGATGGAGCTTATTTGCATATGACATCTTTAATGACTTAATTGTTCTTCACAACAATTTAGTGGGTGTGAAAATAAATCACTAAGCCGCAAATTACAGTTGAATAGAGAAAGTTAGTCTGGTGTTGGATATTTAGTTTCATTATCTATTCAGATAATTAATAGTCGATATTATAAAGCAACAACCGACTGGTGGCGCGGATGCATAATTCCATAACTCCAGGTTTGGTTATATATCTGGATCGATTAAATTTTGTGCGCGACAAAAGAAATAAGACAAAGAGAAAAGAAGTAAAAAAGAGAACGACAAGAAGACCAAGTTTTATAGTAAACAAAAAAAAAATGTTTAATTATAATTTTAGTGATTATGCTCAGTGGCTAAAAAGGAAAAAAAAATATAAAGGCTTTTTGACAAGAAGTTTAAAAAATACTTCGAAGTAACTTGAATTTTGAGTTTTTGTGCTATATAGTTTACATGTCAGGTCAACGAATGGTAGCAAACGGACTGCTCAGAAGCAGATTTCTACAACTGACTTCTTAGCCAGCCAACTTTCTTAATTTTAGCGCCAACCAACGAATACCCGGATGAAAGAATTTCCACTTTGTAAATGTCATCCGACCACATCAAAGAGTTCTTTGGAGATTTTTTTTTTTTGCTTTTCATCTAAATGACCCAGAACTCAGGGAAGTTTCATTCATCAAAATAAATTATCTTAACACTAGAAATTGAAAGAGTTGCGGCATATTGATTATGAAAGTGAAAATAATGAACACCACGCACAATTATTAAACATCTCAGCATCTTCACACTTCCTTTTATATTCTATTTCTTTTTAATATTCATTTCACCCAAATGATTCAAATGTTGCTTTGTAGATTTTACAATCCAGCTAAGTAGAAAAACAGTTTCACTCAAAGCAAAATATTATTTTATTTTGGTGTGTGTGGAGGGGGTGAAAATTCTCAACCTGACTCTTTGCGTCTTTTATAAATATATATATATATATATATATATATATATATATATATATATATATATATATATATATATATATATATATATATATAAAACAATCAGATTTTAGCTGGGAAGGAAACGTATTTGGTGTTTATAGAGTCGTTCATAACAAAGATTTGAAATCTAGTCAGTAAAAATATTGGAAAATATTTAAATTTAAAACAAGTGATTGACATTAACTTTGATACAACTAAACATCAAATGAAATATTCTAAAAGTTATAACCAGGATTCGCTTCAGGCAGAGAATTTGATCCTACTAAAAAGCACCTTAGAAAACAGAAATTATAGTGTTGGATAGAAATGGTTCCAGTATAATTACTTGCAGATTTGTTCTTTTTTCATACAAGATCACATTTTTATTTTTATAACGTTAAGAATTTGTATGCATTACTTTTGTTTTCGGAAGTAATTTTTACAAGTATTTACAGCAGACATTAATAGCCCACATTATATGATTGATACGACCGAAATGGTTAATTTTTTCCGCAATGAAAGCAAAAAAAAAAAAAAAAAAACACTACCCACCGGTTTTAAAATATTTGCCAAAAATTATGAAATTATACGGAAAATTTTCCCCCGCATCTTGCCAAAAACAATTAGCTAAAACTCAATTTTTTTGAGAATTTTTTTGAGGTGTTTGTATAATTCCATAAAACGTGTTATTTTCTTTCAGATTCGACAGAAAATATCTAAACTTAATATTTATTTAAAAAAAAATGACTTGTAATTTTTCAGTGCAATTTTGAAATTTATCTCTCATAAGAGTTTATTTTATTAAATAAAGAGATGTTTGAAGATTTTAAAAATGTAAAGTTTAATGTCATTTTCGAGTGGGAACCTTATTTTTTTTAAGAGTTTTAGTCTATTTTTTCCATTTAGTAACTGTTAGATTATTTTTGGTATGGGTGTACAAAAAGGAAAATAATTCTAATATCTCACGTTGACCGACTACTATTCAATATCGGAGGAGAATCTTGATATATATATATATTTTAGTCATTTTACCCCAAGCAAGACGGGAGTACTACTAGTACACCAGGGTTTACAGAGACTGAAAGTAAGAGAAAAGACTGGGTGCGGGGTGGGGATTGAGGAAAGAATAAAAAAGAACGGGGATCAAGATATCAGAAGAT